ACAAATGGAGAAGAAAGCCCAGCCAGGGGGTGGGGTGGGTTTTGGGATAGAGCAGAGAGACTGGTTTTCTATAGTAGAAATAAAGGATGTATGAAATTATGGGCACTTCCTCCCTGCTCTGACCCCCATCACCACCATACTAATCATACATTCCCGGCCTTCATACCCGGGTTCATACGGGATGCCTCCTCCAAATCATTAAGGGGATCCCCTGGAGTGCGTTCTAACAGCTGTATGAGAGAAGAATGGGAAGAAAAGACACAGAGAATCATTAAAGAGCATGTATTAGATGACAATGCAAACAATACAGAATTCATCAGGTAGACCGACCTCTAAAAACGATCAGCTATAGGGATGACAGGTCAGCTTTGCTGACCTCCATATCTCCATCATCTTTTTTACCATGTGTCATGAACAACCATATTCAGGGTGAAGCATGATACATGGTCACATAAACAAGCCACACCACCAAATGGTCCCCCCAACCTTACCAGAACGCTGGGGTTCTTCTCCCCGCAGGATACTGTATATATTTAAAATTGGCGGCTGCATACTGGTACTTCACTGTTACTTTTTGGGTTTGCTTACACGCCACTTTTACAACAACATACTGCCTTCTCTAAGGGTTTGTTCACACCAAATGCAGACCAGATCTGCATGAGTTTCTGCACACGCAGTGCAGTGGGTTGTGCCGCGTTCCAGGCCGTTTTTTGTTGTTGTTTAAAATGGGCTTTCAGTGCGTTCCAGGGCGTTTGCATGCATTTTTGATGGATTTACATGCGTTCTAAGAGCAGGTAGAATAGGGCTTGCAGCAGGTTTTTTTTACATGCTCTGGAACTAAACGCTGCGGTGTGAACTAGAGCCCAAAATACCATTGGAATACATTGGATGCAGTTTTGATCCGGTCTGTAACTGCTCTGCTCCTGGAATGCGCTTGGTGTGAACAAGGCCTAAAAGCGAACATGCATTTTAAATCAAACCTTAGCAATTCGGACAAAAGATGCTGGGAAAAAAAATACATAAGCAGAGGTTAACTTCTGTAAAAAAACATCGGGAGATAGAGACAGCCGACGTTATATGCAATAGTTGAGCCTGGCCCGCTCTTGCCTGTGGACCAAAAGTACAGTGGTAGGTGTACTTCCCCCCCCGGCGAGCATGCATGAGGGGGGTTGAGTTTGATGCAATTGGATGTAAAACGTAGGAACCCTGGTAAGTTTATTGTGCTTTAATCATATACAGTTACCAGTATTTGTTTGCTATAATGGTCCTTTAAAAGAAACAGCACCAGGGAACTCACCATGCGGATGTAATATTGCAGAAGGGGATTGGGGGTGGCTCGCTCCTCGTCCGGTTTCCTGTTTGGGGGCAACTCCGCAACATTTGAGGGAGGCTCCTCCTGAAAGGGGTGCTCCGGGGAAGTGTGGGGGAGAGTTGTAGACACTAGGAGAGGAAGGGAGAGAGAAAGAAAGAGAGCAGAAGTATGAATGAGCAGAGCTGTCTCTTGATCTGACCCCCTGATGATGCATTGAACCCCCTTCCCTGCCGAGCGTCTGCTCATTAGCACGACTTCCCACCATAACCTGTAAATAAATAATAACCCTCCAATCTGTGGAGAGAGAGAAACATTTCACTGCCACTGAATTACCAGATCTAATAAACTACATTTGTATCTAATATGGCCCCATCTATGTGTATGTATAATGCTTTAAAATTGTACTGGTACTTTTTCCTGCAGAGCTTTGAAGTCCAACTCCAGCAAAAGAAAAGAAAATCAGCGCCCCAGTGTGCTAAAAAATTAAAAAGTAGCTCTGGCTGAGAGACTGACCTCCTGATACTTTCCCCTGAAGACCAGGAGCGGCACCACTCCTCTTCCAGGGTTGAATGACGCACAGCGTCATCCAGTCCACTTACTGTGAGTGTTGGCCGTCATGGACCCGCCCCATGGGGGTGCATCATGATGTCGGCCTGGGCCACCTTTCTTTTACTAGAAGTAGATGAGGAACTGGGGTCATGTACTGTATTGTGTGAGGCTGAAATGGGACATCACATGTTTGGGTCAGAAACACGGAACATATTAAAACCAGAAATAGCCAGGTAACTAGCATTGCAGGTGGCAGCATATGGATTTTATATAGTACAGGTCTCCTTTTAAAGTCAAATTTAGAAGCCGTGCTACTCAAGGGCCAGCGGAATCTTGGCTGCAGGTGAAATAGGTTTTATTTCCACTGAAAGCACCCACATGAATCCTTCAAAGCACTCTATACCAGTTGTGATGTTGGGGAGCCCACAGAGCACTTGCACAACGTCTTGAATGAAACAAACAGCTTTATTTTCCCCTTTCAGGGCAGCCAAAGCAGTAAACATAAATTACACGCTTATCCTCAGCAAACTCAAAGATAAAAAGTCCAAGTCTTCAGCACAAGTAGCAGAACATAAGTGTGTCTCACCCACAGCACAGCACAGCACAGCACAGCACAGCACAGCACAGCAGGTCTCTCTCACAGCTACAGCGAATCACTTCCTCCTCAACTCCCACACTCCTCTCTGGGAGTTGCCGACCTTTAAACCCCTTCCTGGGGCTGGAAGGTTAACCATGCGGCTGTCCTTAAAGGGACCACAACCCACATAGGGGTGATACATATCGCCCATCCAGGACCCAGCCTTGCCGTCCTCTACACAGTGTTCATCAGTCTTTATTCAGTCACATCACTCTTTAAAAGTATATGAACGCTCGAGGTACCCCAATCTAGAAATGTAAAAAAACTACATGTGGTCCTTCCAAAATCCATACCAAACCCTTATACGAGATACGGGTCTTATATAAATTTTAGGGAGGGACAACCCCAAGTGGGATCCCCCCTTCACATTAGAGTCCCCATAACAATATAAGTTCCAAGGAGGTCCCCACAGCACTCCTTACTGGTATGTTCCTTTTAAAGGTGGGTGCTGCAGTGATAGTGGATGGCGCCACTTCAAATCCAAGTAGTAAAATGTATCACCAGCAGACCAAAGTAAAATCTTCAACGAGTGATAATTTTATTGATGTACACAAATCTCGTCACAAAGCAACGTTTGGGGGCCACTTAGGGACCCTTCATCAGGCATAAAATTACTACTCGTTGAAGATTTTACTTTGATGTGCTGGTGATATATTTTACCCCTTAACAATACAGCCCTCCTTTCACATCAGAAGCCTCCCCTTCACATCCAGGGTCCCCCTCTTTCACATTAAGAGCCTTCTTCACAGCAGAGCCATGACATGACCGAGGAAGCCAGAAGGCACCATACAGGCCACACCACCCTGGCTGAGAAAGGTTGCTCTATACGGCAAAAGGGTTGTGAATACCTGACCATCACACCGCTCCCATTCCAAAACCACGGGCTTTAGAGCCGTTCCCCCACTTCCCACCGCTATGTGGCTCCACTCTTCTTGGGAGGCTTTCCACAAGATTTTGGAAGGCGTCTGTGGAAATTTGTGTCCGTTCAACCAAAAATAAACATTTTGTGAGGTCAGGTTCTGATTCTGGATATGAAGACCTGGCTCCCAATCAGTGTTCCAAAGCATCCCAAATGTGTTCAGTGGGGTTGAGGTCTGGGCTCTGTGCAGGTTCCTTGAGTTCCTCCATGTCCAGCTGGTCAAACCATTTCTGTACGGAGCTGGCTTTGTGCACAGTCATGTTAGGACAGAAAAGATTCTTCCACAAACTGTTACCACAAGGTTGGAAGAGTGCAATTGTCTAATATATGTTGTTGCATTAACAGTGCCCTTCACTGGAAAACCTGCAATCATTTTTTGGGTTTTCACATTTGTGCCCATATAGCCAAGTTTGATAGGCAGGTGTTCACATACTTTTGGCCATAGAGAGTATACCAAGTCCTGGGACTGTCCACCTCTGGAACTATACTGCTCCGCTCAGCACAAACATACAGAACACCGAATACTGCCTTCACACAACAGATTGGGCTGCGGATGAGCTGCTAGCTACGGGTAACTTCTCTGCGGCCTGACTGCTCCTAACCCTTCTTGTATCTCTATCTGCTCACAAATCCCTACACAGTGCTTAGCCTGTATTTTCTGCGTGCCACAACTACTCCCAAACACCAATCATTACAAGTAGCTCTGTTAACTCTTTACTGACCAGGAGGAGTAGAATTATTCCCTTTTCAGACAAGCCTTCTACCCCACCCTTGTGCATATACTCACACCAACAGGAAAGGCTCGGAATCAAGGCTTCAAATAATCCCAGTTGCATATCTAATTACTCTGCACCGAAAAGCACAAAATACTCTCTTCGAAAATGCTGTGATCCAAGCCAACAAGAAAGAATGTCGTAGTGGCCTGAGAATTAATTTTGGGGGGCATGCACAAAGGAGAACATGACAGCCGCAGGGGGGTTATATAGATCTTTAGTTATCACTAGAGGGATCCCCAGCAGGAGGAAGGAAGTCCTGATTCCTCTATATAGATCTTTAGTGATTACTAGAGGGATCACCAGCATTAGGAAGGAGGTCCTGACTTCTCTATATAGATCTTTATTATCACTAGAGGGATCTCCAGCAGGAGGAAGGAGGTCCTGACTTCTCTATATAGATCTTGATTATCACTAGAGGGATCTCCAGCAGGAGGAAGGAGGTCCTGACTTCTCTATATAGATCTTGATTATCACTAGAGGGATCTCCAGCAGGAGGAAGGAGGTCCTGACTTCTCTATATAGATCTTGATTATCACTAGAGGGATCTCCAGCAGGAGGAAGGAGGTCCTGACTTCTCTATATAGATCTTGATTATCACTAGAGGGATCTCCAGCAGGAGGAAGGAGGTCCTGACTTCTCTATATAGATCTTGATTATCACTAGAGGGATCTCCAGCAGGAGGAAGGAGGTCCTGACTTCTCTATATAGATCTTGATTATCACTAGAGGGATCTCCAGCAGGAGGAAGGAGGTCCTGACTTCTCTATATAGATCTTGATTATCACTAGAGGGATCTCCAGCAGGAGGAAGGAGGTCCTGACTTCTCTATATAGATCTTGATTATCACTAGAGGGATCTCCAGCAGGAGGAAGGAGGTCCTGATTCTTCTATATAGATCTTTAGTTATCACTAGAGGAGAATGGAGATCATGATTTTTGTTTTTTTTTAGGATTTTTGGGGGTCGGAGATCTGTTTTTCTTCTGCCGTCATTCTTTTTTCATTCCCGCTTCAGAAATAGTCCGTGATCACACGCTGAAGAGCCATAGCTACACAGGAGGTGCCAATTTTTCTTACACAAGTTATTATTTGCACCAGCCTGTGTGTTTACCATGCCCAGAACGCAAAGGATTACATACATAAAGTCTCCTTGCGTTCTGGGGTGGGAGGGGACGTGGCAGTGCCATTCAAGTCAATGGCACAACAGACATGGCCGCAGTAAGAGCGGCCGCACAGGAACGGCTATTGGCTTGAATGGCACTGCCACGCCCC